CGCTGATTAGTCATTAGACCCGTAACTATGGAGGATAGTGTTTTAATATTCGAGATAGATTTTCTTGTGCCCTAACATTCGACCTAAGAAATCATGAATATATATAAACATAGACACTGTGGCATTGGGGAAACATAGGTACTGCTGCTGGTTTATTCATGAATCAGAAACATGAAACTATCGCCGCGACTGCGATTTTTAAAAGTTCTAAGTATACAAACGGCAAGGTTTTATACTAAAAAAAATATAATATATAAAAGTCTTCCATGCGTAAACATTGCTATTATTGTTTATACAAATTATTATTTTAATAAATAATATATGCCCATGGATGGTGGTTTCAACATTACTATTATATAAATAAGGTTTAGAAAATTTGAGATTTAAAAAAAAGTTAACCACAAATGACCATAGAAAAGTTGACAAAACTTTATATTTATTAAAGAAAAAAAACACGTCTGACACGACCTCACTTGATAGACTATCTGATCGAGTAGACGGTGTATCATGCATTTTTATGACGGGAGACAAAAACTTGACAATTTGAAAGTCGCCGCATGATCGGACACATCTCATGAATATTTATGGGTAATTTATAATTAATGGTAAATGCAGAAAATTGTGAAAGAAGGTCAACCTGAAAAGTCGTGTTACGAATTGAAACAATTTTCCTTTATTGTGTGCAATTAGTAACCAAAATTTTGCTAATGTTTTTGCGTTTTACGTTGTTTGAATCCGTAACCGCAACACTGTGCATAGAACGTAACAAACATAATTCTGAATTTAAAAAAATATTTTCTGTATAGGCGCAGAGTTTAACAAAAACGAATAGAAATCTGAAAATGATTAAAAACACATCAATAGGGGGCAAAACCCTTATAGGTTTTTCTATACATATATGTATATGTAAGCAAATAGTGAATTTGTTAAAGCAAGTTTTCCATTCGATAAATGTACTTAACACTTATCGAGTTTAAGATAATGGTTATTATTCTCTGCGTGTAATTTTCATAGTCATTTTCAAAACTGACTAAAGCAGTTAAACTATGGGTTAAAGAGTAAAATGTTTCTAGTTAATGGCAGTGTAGAACTAATAGTTAGTAAATTGGCATCGTTTATAATAAATTTTCTCGTTGGCAACACTAATGTTAGACGTTATTTGTGCCAAATCGTTTGGTTAACTTTACATAAGAATTAATTTTTACATTACTAATTTTATACGTATTGAATAGTATTAATTCTTCTTTTATAACGAGAGATTAATGACTTTAAATTAGTATTTGTGGGCGATATCAACCTACACAACATCCATACATCAACATACAATTTTGCAAGTCATATGTTATAATCATATGTTCATAGATTAAATATTTAATTATCCTCAGTAGGTATACGGAAAATGGCCTAATTATTCATTTATTTCTTGGTACCTACTAGTCGACTTATTTATAATGAAGCACTTTTACATGATATCAGATAAAAAAGGAAAAACACAGATACTAATGGTTAGAAAAATAACGTTTTAAATTAGCAATTAGCTTACGTTATAGACTATTTGATCTTGTAATACACTTATTTTAATATTATAAACAGTTTTCTGTAATCCATTTCTATTGATAATAAAGCCTAATCATAATTTTAAATCATAAGATCCGATTCTAATTCTCTGATTTAAAATTAACCTTTGCGTGTAAGTAAATTGAAATGTTTCTCTACTAAAATATAATAATTAGAGTATTATAAAAAGTAAAAAATTAATTTTTTACGTTAGTTGAATTATTGTATGAACTGTCTGGAATTTATTCCCATAAATTATAAGCATCTTTTAAACATGATATATGGCTTTAAGAAATCAATTTCAGCTGCTCATGCCTTGAGAGTAAAGGCCTCGTAAAAGTACAATAAAATAAAAGATCGCAAGCTCAAACCGCATTCCAATTTCCTTTTTAGTATTGTAAAATCAGTTAGTAGAGCAAACTAGAAATCCTTAAACACAAACTAGGCAAAAACTATTGTCTTGTTTATACCACTATAATTTCAATAGTAACGTGTGGTGGCTATATTTGGCTTCACGTGCTATCAATAACTCCTAAAGAGGTTGTATGAGACTTTAATGTTCATTAACATTGTACTAACAAGCGATTGAAACCCTTTATTACAGTCGACGACCACGACTTCAATTATTTTAGAATTAAAACTTACTTATTACGTCTTGGTGTTGTAATTATTTATCAAAGACTTTAATCCAATTTTTATATTTTTGTTTATATTTTACGTAAAAATATATATTTTTATTATTATTAATAGTACTCTACTCCCCTGCCATTGGGTCCAGGGACGTTTAACGTTAAAATATTACTGCAGTTCACAGTAGCGTCAAAAAGTACCTTAAAGCAATCGACAGACAAAATTTGACATATTCAGTTCGATTTATAGTTTCTGATATCACTTAAATTAACCAAATCTTCTCTTAATTTTAAGTCCGGACTCATAGTCACTAGACCCCCTTATCAGACCATGGTTAGATCATGGGACCATGACCATTGCACAAGGCCGCTTGACCTTGACGGAAGGTTTGAAGTAAATTATTAAATATGGTTTTAGGGTAAGTTTTACTAATATTGACTGTGTGACCCACCGAAATGACCGAAATGACCACCGAATCCGTTCTTGGTCTGAATTCAAATGAATTAGGACGTGAGATTATGATTATTTTACAACTGTGTAACCATCATACGATGTCTCAGCAGCACATAAACAGTCTAGACGTAAACAATTCTCGTAAAAATAATGTTCTTTTTTGTAAAGCCACAACAAAGGCACTTCTCAAAATAGTATACCGAAGACCGCTGGAAATCTGGACTAATGCCATGCATTTGACGTTTTTGAAAATGTTTATAATTATCAATAATCACGATGCGTTGTTTCATTGTTATTAATATTTTAAATTACATATGGGTCTATGGCGAAAAAACCGGTAAGTTACTTATGGACTCACTCACCCATGTGTCTAATTCCCAAATAAATGCAATGCGAAAATAAAATTTGCTCCGTCAGTATTTCTTTGGTTATTATACCTAAATCCATATTATTTCAAGATAATTAATATAATAGACTAAATAAAGATATTTCTAGCGAATCAATCGAAACAAAACCACAGTTCCGTAAATCTCTAAAAACTCTAACAATTATCCCTCTCTCTTATGTTATAACTGATCATCGTAGACACGTTTCTGGGGCAAGTATATTTGCTTCCGTTAATTGCCGTAATGAGTTTTATATTGTTTATTTAGGGGCCTCTTAATTTGTTTGCCTATCGATTGAGCGCACTTGCTCAAGGACATTTCCGTGTTAGAATCTCACTGGACTCACACTTGGAATTACTGCCTTTCATAATATGTTAGTCTTACGTGTGAATTGAGAATATTTGATTTATGAATAATGGTTTATAAAGAAATTTCAGTGCTCCATACATGAGAACTTTCTTGGTTAAAATCATAAATAATAATATTTAAAAACCTATGAGATTTTACGTATTTTTTTTTATAAAAAAAAAACTATATAATTATATTAATAAAGCTAAAAAAATTACTCGTCTGTCGTCAACTGTACCTATTGAAATAATAAGAAAAACCTATTGAAATAAATAAATTATTTATTTGAAATATAATGTCCTCGATATGGGTAGGCAATTGAATATCCCTTTTATTTTTCTTTAAATGAATTCCGAGACCTCAATACCCACAGAGTGCTCACTCAATAAATCTTCTCGCTAAGAAAACCTACTTTTTGTGTTCAAGCATAGAGGACAGATTCTTTGGACGATATGCGTTCAAAGAGCAATTTATTGCCCACAGAAAACATTTTTCAAAGTTCGACGAGTTTGTACTGAAATTAAAACCCGATGGTTATTTATGTTTATGGGTGTGAAGTTGGCATACAAAAGGAACAAACAATACGTCGTTTATTCCCGGCTCGAATATTTGAATATTGTGTAATTACGGTTGTGAATATTAATGGCTACGTATGTGGAAATGTGTACGGAATTCTTCACTGTATAAATTGTACACAAAAGCAATTACCTACTAGGTTTTTCTAAACTTATCTTTGGTTTCGATATTTTATGTCTAGATAATGGTAATCTACGGCAGATATGACTCGCTATAGAAAATATAATTAAGAAATCTATATCTAAGTATCTATATTGTTCTAGAGGATCACAAATCAAGTATCTATTGAGGATTGATTGTAATTGAGTAAAAAACTTTATAATGTCCCAAGTTGCTAAACCATTTTGGCATAGATATAGATTTTCGTAAACACCTATGTCCATAAACAATAGTGTTTGTTCTTTATCAATGTCATGCGTATAAACTAGTAAGAAATAAATCAAATAGGTTTATTAGCAGACAGTCTTAATAATATAATAGTTCAAGTAATTTGAAATAAACTTTTACGATACGATAATAAAATGAAAGCATGTTCTGCTTCGAAAATTAATATTCAGTGAACTTTCTAATTAATGTCGGCTTATTTCAATAACCTCTGATTGGAATCAAATGCTATTTCAATTCTGACCTATATCTGTACAAGTTTATTAAAGTTTTATTGCTCCATAAAAAACCGCAGTATATTGCTAAAAATTATCATGTTTTACGATTGGTCTGTTCTAAATATATTCATAGATTCGATTTGATTTACTGCACGTTTTATATTCTGATTATGTAACTGTGTACTACTCAAAATTATACATACATATCAATATTATTAAAGGACAAAGATATTACAAGAACCTTTTAAATATATTTTTAATTATTCAATTTAATTTATCTTCAATCTTAATGTGCATGCATCATGTTCTAATAAAACCTACAGATATTTAAAGAGTTATGTGTTATAACTTCATGTTATAATGACGAGTAAATTTATTGTAATATTTATTTAATTACTTGTTAAATATTTATATTTAATTTCACAGTTTCTTTATCTATTGTCCACAGGCCATCAGTAGCATTTATCGCACCAGCGATGATCGTCGAGCGGCATAGCACCCGCGAGCGCACAAGATCGCCGCCAAACGAATTGTCAACCTCCTGCCACTACACAGGCTCCATACGGGGACAACCATCCTCGAAGATCGCTATCTCTGCTTGCGATGGACTTGTAAGTATTACCTACACTCTAAAATATAATGATGATAAACGTTGTGTCTAGTAAAGTTGAAGCCAAGTTGAAAGCAAAACCGGTAAGATATTATATTATCTACTCTATTTACAACAGTGAGAACTACTCAAATGTGTACTAACCTTATTGCCAAAAACTAAAACAGTCTTATTGAACCGTTTTAACTGTCTTTTTACATTATACCATAAATACAAATTGCCACAATAGATGAAGAGTTAATTTTTTTCATACAATAGGTATGCTTATGAGTTCTTTAACATTACAAGTAATTTATGGGTCTCCAACAAGAATTACAGAGAACATTATATTTTTTAGTCTTAACAATCGCGAATTTAAAGGAAAAAATATTAACCTCAGACTGTAATGAGAGAATTATTATAATTAAGAAGAATACGAATTCCGTTTATGAATTCTTGAAATTGAAATATATGTCTATGTGTGGCCCTACAGACGTCAGATTAATCATAGTAGCATTAGATATGATCATTACATACACTCGTAAAACAACGATGCAACTGAGCTACGATATCGAAAGTCCTATTATACTAGCACTACTGAATGACTAAGGCAGTGAAATAACTTTTTAGCTTTTAATTAAATATATTATGAAAACAACACGCAAAAAAAATTGTCATGTGTCATTAACTTTAACATTTCTTAAATGTCTTACAAGAGAAGTTAGCCTTAGATATATGTACGTACGTTCCCTTTATCATTTCCTTCAAAGACAATTAGGTGATCAGCCTTTTGTGTTTCAACACGCCGTCGATTTTTAGATCATGAACATGCTGGCTTGTTATCTTGATTATTGCACAGTCGGGGTGCGAACGCAGGGCTTGACGGTCGAGAGTCGCTAGACACTGGTCTTAGTGATTTATGACACAGTGCACATTAAAATCTGAAGCTATAATTATAAGTCACGTTAAGCGAGAAAAATCAGATCTCGTCCCGCGATAACATTCCATAAAAATTTAATATATGTCTGAGATAATGCTTTAACAGTTAAATTTATGTCAGAAAAATGTAAATTTATTAATATAATATCATATTTTTATAAGTAAATATTTTGTTACTAGGCAGTTAAGACTGAATTTTACGTTGTCAGTTACCTAGAGTTTTATTTGAATTTTGATAAAACAAGGTAAAGATAATATTTTTATTATTATGTAGAATTTTACGTTGTATATGTATTTCAAGTTTATTTTTACATATTAGCAAATAATACTCGCGGCTTTAGAACCATCTAATGTGTCACCTACTTTTATGCCCGCCTTCCACTGCGAGCGGAACGGACCCATTACGGACTTCGCTATACCCTTAACGATGATTTTCATACATTTTCATTTTCATTTCTCTGTGAAACTCGGCCAACTCGCTAACCTCATATGTGACTCTTTCAAATCGGTCTCTCCGCTTTGGTGGAAGCACATGTATGAAAATCATCGTGACGGGCGGAAGGCGGGCATTGTACCGAACTACGTCAAATATTCAAATAGTAGCTAAAAAAAAATCTCTTATATTTTACTGTAAATGAATGCTTAATTAATTTGATGCTTTATGTTTATATATATTTGATATTCATTTCCGAAAGGTGTCGTTCAAAATAATTGTACTGGCAACAAAAATGCAAATAAACAACCAACGCATTATCTCACAATTTGAATTTACATCTTAATATAAAAAATAAACAAATTGATTACACGCATAAGTATAACGTTGTATTTAATTTTACACGCTGCCCGTAAACCTGTTCAACTGATCGTCGCGATAATCACTACTTAGTTACGACATAACGTCAAAGAAAACGCTCACGTCTCATAATCGAGAATTCCTTTATAAACATCATTTGTAAATTACCTTTTCAATTTACAAAATAAATTTTCATTTGGAATGTTGTGAATATGTCGTATTCGATTAAGACAGCAATTTTATTTGATTATTTAAAAGAACAACGCTTATACCGCGTGTAATTATGAAACTACAAATTATATCAAATGGGCGGCCTCCGTAACTTACAACAAATAACAAATGAGCTCTGTTTCTCTAAAGCATCGTTTCTCAAGCGGGGGGTCGCGACCCTTGGGGAGGTCGGGTTTGTTGAAAAATAATAAATATAAACTACATATATGTACAAAATATTCGTTTATTAAAGGAATGAATAATTATAGTGTAGTGTTATAAAAGTAAATTATAATTTTACAGTGACGAGGTCGCAAGACTGTTTTACTTAACTTTTTGGCTTTTTCGTGGGTCGCTACATAAAAATGGTTTAGAAATTGGACAAATGAATACTGGAACGACCGTTACAAAATAGTTATCATAATTAAGTTGCTTTTGGTATTAACAACTGTTGAAGTATGTATTTACAATTTTATTATTGCTACGGCATTCTGTATGCGATATTTTATATACTAAGTGCATTAAGGCTAGGTATAAACGTCGGTATTTAAATTATACCTTAAAATAGAGGTAACCGGTTAAGGTGGCGGTGGTCGAACAAAAAGTATAGACACTATGTAATTAAATATACTTTACACTTGGTTACCTTGAGGCCGCTGCGTAGACGCATGTCAGTTTTCATTAATCAACTTTCGATCTTCTTCGACTTGTTATACCTCTACATACCTATAAAATGCCATTAATCTATACTAAAGTAAGAGAATTATGGTGTCCGTATTTCATAGTGTCACTGTGAATGAGATTCGAAAAACTTAACTAATTTTAATTACGTATGTCGGGAACAAACGTAATTTCTTTTTTCGTATATAAATAAAATTAAATTTAGAGGCATTTTTCGAAAGTATTTTTCATAATGTAAAATAGACCCATATAATCACACAAATCCATAGAACAGAATTCAACAAACTTAATTCATTATGTGTTTATTGAGTAAGACCCACCTACATTAATATCGTTACTCCGATCGCCTTCTAACATCTATAATACCGAGAGGTGCTGGTTTTTTCGTACGGCCTTCTTATTGACAAGGTCGGCGACATACAGGCTAGCCGGTCTCTCAACTCGATAACATAATATATCATATTCAAATACAATCTAATCCAGAAGCTTTTATTGATCACAGATGGTAATGTACGTATAAACACTTTTTTGTTATAGGCGGGTCATTTGCGAACTGAACAAGGAGAATATTGGATCGAACCATCAAATCAAATTCCCACCGATATTTCTAAGGGACGACCCCATATTATCTTTAAGAGATCAGCCGTTGACAAAGTTGAATCATTTTATAGAAAAAAGAGAGAAGTTGGTGGTAGAAGTTTTAGTAATAATGTGGGACAACAATACGAAAATAAGAGATACTCTAACCCAAAACGAAGCCACAAAGAGGCTATGGACGCACGACGAAGAGCGTACTTAGAAGATAGACGGCGAAAATTGGAAGCGTTGCGACGAGACCCTTTGGCGTATAGAAGACAGCAAGCTAGAAAAGCAGAACAAAGAAGACTACAGCCCCTCTCCAAGAGCATATCTGCTGAAGATAGTATGTCAAGAGAACTTTACAAGAACAAAACCCATAACAAACAGAGAATTGAACAAACACCGCGAAGGATTCGTCCAAGACGACGTAGACGAAGATCAAAAAATTGCGCAACCAAGCAACCTCGGTATCAATGGGAAACTAAAAATCAGCGGAGTGGCAAGCACGAAGAATCCAAAAACTCAAGATCTGGCAAGGTAATTGCTTTAATCTTAATCTACAACGATAAAACATCTGGAATTATATATACGTTAAATATATTAGCAGAGAAATTTATTATTCCATAAAAGAAGGTGATGGTATGTCAACCTTAATCTTAATATCCTCTGAATTACTGTCACAGCAAAAAAGTAGCTTTTAATAATAATGCAAAATTGAATGAAATCATACGCTTGCTAGCGGATTAATAATGATATGATTGATGACTTTGTTACCGTTTTGTCTTAGAAACATCATACCACCCACCATCAATCACGTAATCGATGGGGTTTAAACCAAACCAGGCGGAAAACACGGTCTGTTAGCAAACCACGGCACGTAGAGGTTCTACTAGTAGGCGACAATTCCATGAGTGAATTTCACGAGCAGGGAAGCTTGGAAACGTACCTCCTTACTATAATGAATATGGTAAGATAATAGAATAATAGTAAAGATAGATTAGATAAAGAACGGATGTTCAGTTTTAAACAGTGTAACCTTGGAGAGAAAATTAATCTTATCTCTGTTTCAGTGTATGTGATAATTTCTCGTTTTTTTTATTAATCTGTGGCAACACAAGATGTTATTTAAAGGTAGAATTAAGAAGATCTATTGATTGATTTATTCTTTACTTTTTATTCATACAGAAGATAAAAAGATAATGTTTAAAGTTTTTTTTATTATATAGGTATCCTCTCTATACATGGATCCATCAATCGGCAACTACATAAAGGTCGTTGTTGTTAGAATTACACTCTTAAAAGAACTGCACCCTACACCAGACTTGGAAGTAACAACAAACGCTGATGCCACACTCAATTCGTTCTGCCGTTGGCAACATCAGACCAACCCAAATGATGATAAGGACCCTCATCACCACGATGTTGCTATTTTGGTGACTAGACAAGACATATGCAGTCAACATGATTCACCTTGTAGGTAAGTCATTGATTTTATATCTGGCAAGAACTGTCCTCGAAAAAACCACTCAACCCAAAACACATTTAAAGGCAGTAGATATTCATTGGGCCTTACAAGTTGCATTATTTTTAATGAATTGTACAAAATCAACTTTAGATATTCATTGTAATACCAAGATATGGCTCAGTTACTAAAATTCGGGTAATACCACCATTAAAAAAAGACAGAGTAGTTTTTGTTAACGTTTTAATATGTATTTTAATCGTCTCTACGTTTACGAACATACGTTCAAAAAAACATTCAGAGCCATTTTTATCATACTTTATGGCTTACATATCCTTTAAAAGCAAACGCTTTTAAAGTTACTAAAAATGCTCAAATATAAAAATATTAGAGGAATTATTTAAATGCTGTAATAAAATAGCTTAAATTATTATCACTTTGGTCACGGTTGTACATATTAAGCAGTTTTTAAATATTTTTGGCGTTTTAATGCTTACAAAGTTGTATTTATATTTTTCCCAAAAAAACGGTAATTTTTGTACCTACGTAATAACGGTTTTCATTTTATAAATCCACTAGCTCGTACAAAATTATGAAACAAAAAAAGAATAGAAAAATTTCTTGCCACAGAGTAACGTAAAAATATAAAAGTATCGTGTCAATTGTCAGTAATGTTATATTATAATTTTATCTTCCATAGTGGGAAATCACACAACAAAATAAGCGAAGCAAATTTAAAATTTTCTAGGTTTTTATTTTGTGTCGGTAACTAAAGAACTAGAAATTCTCTAGTTTTTACCGACTCAAAACTTAAATGACCAATCAATGATGCAAAATCGATCACCTTAAATAAAAACGTAATAAAATTGGCGAAGGCATAGGATTTAGAGTTAATAGTTATTGATAATCGTAATAATTTTTGCAATCTTGTATCGAGACAAGGTCAATGGCAAAGCAGGCGTCTGTTTGTTGAGTAGAGTGGCAGTGAGTAACGAACTCCGAAATAGAACACTTTCGGTGTTCGACCGCAATCTAAAACCTATACCACCTGCTTCACTACTCCTGCTTATTAGAGACTTAGTTTTAATTATTTATATCTTTAAATTAAACAAAAATACCATATACATAAACTCTAACGTATATATTATTCTAACGTATTTATTATACGTATATATACGTACGTAATAAGTATTTTATTGATAACGATAATTTTCTCTTCTTTAAATGCTATAAAAGTGGTACCTAAATTGGATAACAGAATTACAAAATAAAATATGTTTATTATGGAACATAAGATACATGTATCACTTATTCCCCGTCATTAAATTTGAATTTGTAGGCATCCCTACTCATCGGCAAAAAAGACAGAGGGTGTAGGCACTAGGTAGGTGTAGGGTAAAGACCAGCACTATCAGTCATGTCCAATCAGTAACATTTAAATAGTGTGTGAACAATTTAATTATTTATGATACAAGTATACTTTAATATAACCCTACTGTAGTCCTTTGTTTTAGTCAATAATGACACGACATTTTCCAACCACCATGCATTATATCTTCTGACAGGCTTATTGCAAATGCGTGACGCTAAAATAACAAGTGCTAATATTAAATAAGGTCGTGCCTTCACAATTATTGACGTACCGTCTCGTTCAACGACAAAAAAAATATGTTAATTCATTTAATATCATGTTATTATTATTGAGGTCTGGAGAACCATTAACGTTTAAAATTTTATCATAAAAATCTGTAGGAATTCCGCTTACAATTTTTTTTGCATTTACGAATAACGGCATGACCGCGCGCGCCAAATTTGTACGCACTTCAAAAACACCGACATTAAGGCCAAGGATGTTTAATAGCACTTAACAAAAGCCTATACAGCTTACGTAATTAGTAACAAAATACTATATTATTTCCATATACATGTAACCACACCTCTCAGACATCAATCGGTTCTAACGAAAAATACTTTAACAAGGTGAGTAATAGCCGACTTCGTTTGTTTATATTACTGTAAATATTTTGTATAGACAAACTATTTAAGACTCGGATTGCAGTAAACGCAATACGTTTATATCTGTTAAATAACGAAGCTATCTAGAATAGATCTGACGTAAAACAGACGGCCTTATGTAATATAGGATTAAAAACTAACGCATTTATGTTTACTTTAGCTACCGATAAGTGTTTATTGATAAATGCTTTATATAATCTTTAATATAGGCAAATGTTAATGTCTTTTTTTGAATGCAGTGAATTGCAATGTTAGTTTTTCGTCAAGTAATTTAAGAAGTATTCGAGTCTATACATCGAAGGCAGATACGGAATTTTGATGTTGGAAACGGTACATACAAGTAGTCGAATTTTCTCGGAAGGGGGCAATCACAAGACAATGTGCCAGTAACGGTTAGCCGCAGGCTGCAGACGTTCATGAATTATGCATACTGCACAAAAAATTGCAGTCATCAATACTCGCAAATATACCATACACGCCTACTTAATCTGGGTCAACGAATACTTAGTAGACCGCGACCATTCAATAAACATGTCTACTTTACTCGAATAACTTTTTATACAATATTTGAATTTTAAGATTCGATTCAGATAATCTATTTATAAATGGAATATTGTCGGGTATATTTTTTACGGCGGGAAAAATTTATAAGCTTTTTCATGTTTCGGACTTCTATACAATGATAATTTACGTGACATAACAATCTGATATTAAAATGATAAAGCTAAAGTGATAAATTGTTATCGACTTTCGATTGAGTTGTGGGTTGTGGCCGCAAGTGGCGAGCGACGCCATGCAGTCTGGCTGCCGTTTCGACAACTTATCTCACCTTTTGTTAATGTGTTTTATGAAGGCGTTTCACGTATACGGTAAATTTTATTGCAAATTTGGTAGATTAAATTTCATTATACTGGTATGCTTAAATGAAATAAACAACTTCTTATAAATAAACATTTTATATTACAATCTTTTTTTATTTAATTACTTTAGAAAAAGACATTTTATTGATTTTGTTATATTTTATTTTTATTCATTTCTTCTCTAGAGTTTCTTATTGATGATAGCTGCTGTAAAACATACGTCAAGTTGTGATGTGTTGTTAATTTAAATAAATGAAGTAAATCTGATAGTGCATTGATGTTTTTTACTTTGAAGAATTTAAACTTCTCCCAATTAAGTCTAATTAATTAATTAATTACTTAAACATTACATAATATTTTACATTGCATTACGAGTATATTGAGCTATAGGAAACCACCGCCATTATAATAATAATATATTGCGTTTACTTCAAGGTTTTATAATGAACAAAAAAACTTCATTAAAAACGTGTTTAAGATGTATAAGAATCGTATGTAGTTCCTTATTAAATAGCTTGACTAAATAATTTACTGAATAATTATAACATGAATTTAAACAAAATATAAATTCTTTTTACATTTACAGCCAAGTAACATAATACATTAGTGAACAATTGAAAATGTCACATTTTCTTTGCGTAATTCATGCATAGACTATCCAAAAATATTAGAAGATAAAAGTGACGTTTATTTTTTTATTTTAGTTTTCACCGATGACAGTTGTGTCATCACGTCCTTATAGTCTGTGGTGAATTTAACGCTTGAATCAGACAGTCGAATGATTTATGATTCTATACAAAAGAGATGTTAAATCAAAATGTAATGTCATTAAATCGTAATTACTTTGCGATTGCGAGACAAATTGCAAGTTACATAATGAAACCGGAAAATTACAGCTAATTTATTTGAAAGTTTCTCGGGTCATGTTAAGAAAAATGTTTTCGTTTTTTTACTTATGAATATTTAAATGCTTAATACTTTTTCTTATTTCAAGAGTATAATTATATAAGTTATGTGATCCTTCTTGACAAAAACTGAGACAGCAAACAATTATAGAAAACGACCTGCCACAATATCAGAATAAGCGTCGCTGGATACAGCGACTTTTCATTCATGGAATAACAATTTATTCAATATTTGTCTTTTCAATTTACAGACTGACGTCAAAGATTTACACAATTGACCTCCATATGAATCGGTACAACGATTTGGTGTCTCATATTTCATTGCTTCTTAGAAAAGACATCAACGCGTGCAACATTGTCATAAACCGCTATGTTGCTTGTAAATGCTCGTGAATTGCGACAAATCAATCACTTAAACTTAAGTATTACTTGTAGGCATTACATTGCGGTATCGAGACGTTGTAATTCAAAATATATATTGTACTTTATTTGTATATGCTTTTTATTAAACACACTGATGCGTTATTTCTTTGTCGACCACTTGTTCGGTGGTCGAGTTCTACTAAGAAAAGCCGGAAAAAAATCCAAAAGTTACTATTTTAAATGTAGAAGACAGAATTTAATTTTTCGAGTGTGGAACATTCTCTAAGTACAATATTGTTTTAAAAAATCATTTCTATTGCACTGCTTAACATGAGTACAATTAATGTCAATTTCCGAATATCTATTTCAGGAAGACTGGTTGCTGAAAAATTTGTTTTAATAACGAAGCTCAAGTTATTTTATGTATACTTATAGTTGAGAACGCGCTTAACTTAGGAACTACTGATGTAAATTAAACAATTGTTATTGTGTTGGTTACATAATTTACTAAGGAAGGCTATATAACAGTGATAAACTAACGCGGTATCACAGGGCATAGTTAGTAATCTATAAAAAGAGGTAACGATGTTGCACAGTCTCTTGCATACCCAGCTTATTTGAAAGATACATCCTAATCGTTCTTCGTGTTTGAAGTCGTTAGCTCAGCAGTCAGTAGCTCACTATACTCACTAAATTATTTTTTGACAAATTGTGACCTATTTTAATAATATATTTACTACAAATAATATTTATGACACATAAAAATGGCAATAAAATTGGAGCTACGTCGCGTGGAAGGCGTGAGTGTTATTTACATAATAGAATGAATTTATTTTGCTTTTCAACGGTTTCCGCGTGAATCAGACGTGTATTATTAGCAGACTATTCCTGGCTTGTCTGGTTGGTCGTTGCGATCCACTTAGCTATGGTACAATCATATAATGCAAATAGCTTTCGCTCCAGCATTGTTCAGCGTCGATAATGCTTACAGTTTTTTTAATTATTTTTGCTTTACCAAAACAACTATGACAATAAATTAAAAATAAATAATTGTAAATGCTAAATAAACGTGTTTTGTTCTTCATAAAATAATTTTATTAGCTCTGTAACGCTGGATTTTATGCGCGTAAAATTAGATCAATTTTTCTTTTTTTTTAAATGACGTTCCCCAGTCACTATTATTTAAAATAAAGGGAAGTAAAAGACATTGACCTTACTAAGAAAACCGTTAAATACAAATTACTCACGAACATTACTTAAATTTATAAATAAGATCATAATCTTCATATCATTCAATCTGCAATAAATTCACGTCATGACATACGAGATATAATTTAGAAATCTACGCATTAATTATTAAGTAAGCACAAATGAATACATAATATAATAGCCAGTTTATTTAGGAATAGGTAATCTGAACTCCGAACAACCTTCTAATTATACATACAAGTTTATTCTTAAACATAATATAAGCCTCAAATAGTAGTTTGTCTCGGTTTTCTAATTTCAAAGTCTCACGAGAGCTTAGTGAACAATAAATATACTTGTAGAACCTCAACGAGGAAGGGGATTAATACTTTATTAAATAACTTATGTTTTTTTTTATATTATGTTGTGGTACAGTAAATTAACTTGCATACATCTGTTTATTATTCGGACTCATATGTCATAGTGTCGATTAATTCTTCCGCGTAGGCACAAAAGACGATCCGTCTTGAAAAAAAATATCTATGTAAAATCGCAATAATATGTCTACATATATTATTTGTATTTCTTTATAATTAATACTTAAAAGTGATTTGAAGTTCAATATATTAATTTATATCTTCGTTGCAGTACTCTAGGCGTGGCCCATGTGGCGGGCATGTGCAAGCCAGACCGGAGCTGTTCTGTCAACGAAGACAACGGCATAATGCTCGCTCACACCATCACACACGAGTTGGGACATAAGTAAGTATACCTCGTTAATATAAAAGGAATACAAAAATTCTCAGCGTCGGTCATCTAGCGTTCTTTCTCCTATCAATACCCTATTATATAACTAATATTTTAGGAACATAATATATGTAATTTCATACATTCCATCTTAAACCCTGGTGTGCACAACACCGCTTTTTAAGGCACTTTCAGCCGCACACCACCTCTTTGTAGAACCAGCTGTCAGTGCATGTTATTCCAACCAAGGTAACATTCCCTGACCAACCAGCCCCTGGCGTTGCAGGTTTTCATGGGCGGCGTTTGCCTCCTGTCCCTTAATATATAAAAGTATGATACCTTACGATTTTTTCCTAACACTGATTTTCTGTATCGTGTACGTCATAAATATTCGAAAGTAAAATTTAAAAGAACACCCTTTATTGACCCGTTTTAATTTTAATTTTTTCTATGAGTTATTTACTTGTTATTTGTTAAAACTGCTAGACTAAAAATTTTATGTTAAGAAAAATACGGTAAAAACAGATCCTTCTAGAGAATACGACACAAATATATTATTTTACTAGGTAGCTCGAATAATTTATTAGAGTCATTTGCAAGATTATATTTAGATGTTTTATTAACATCAAAGCGATGCATCGCTAATAAACATACGAAATTTCATAAAATTCATTACAGCTGTTAATCTTTATAGTTCTGATAAATTGTTTTATATCTAAATATTGACGCAGACTTGTTTAAGTCTGATCCTAGAGGATCAATTACGCAAAGGATATTTTAAATCGTCTGACAGACCGAAAAACAAAACAGAACTAGACATCTGATCAGATGGTTCTTGATAATTGTTCCCTTTTGTAAGTGTGAACCCAGACACACGCTATTATTCCCAGACATACCGTTTTCCTCACGATGTTTCCTTCACCACAGCAAGCATTACTTCCGGACATAAAAATCCATTGATATACATCCATGCTTCGAACGTATAGCTCAGGGATGACAGCAGCGCCTAGGCACTAGGCTAGTAGTATACTGCTATTTGACCTGCCTGAAAATACTCTCGTAAAAATAACAGTATAGTGAAAAATTCAACAAACCTGTTTCCTATTCATTATCGCTGCAATTTATAATTTTTAACACGCATATAGGCTATTATAACATTGCAACACAATTCATAATCTGCATTATCTCAATTACTATCTACATCCATTAAACTTTCATTGTTTCGAAACGTGTTCAGGGTATGAATTGATTTTACAAGTATAATTTACATTATTAATACGCCTAAGCGTTCGCTTTCATTTAGAATAAATTTACGATAGTTTGTTCACATGAAAATATTGCCTTTTATCGAAGTAAACCAAAATAATTGCGTGAGTTTACGTCTTACGATATACGAGTAGTTAATTGTGAAGAGCATTGGTAAAAAATCTGGCTGGGTGATCTTCCCAGTAGCTTAAGTATTTGGGTACAAATGCGAATGCGTTCATAATATATAAAAATCTGATGTTTTTCTCAGTATACGTATTCGTGAACATAAAAAAGTGCACTCCTCTTAGAAGCACACGGAATACACACAATATTATATTAAAAATAAAAATAAACCTATTCTAAATGAATTAATAACATTAATACATATTCAAAACAAAACTAAGATTTTCATCAGTAAAAATAACAGAAATATGATCAGCGACGGGCCGGCGCCGGCACAACCATATTTCATGAAACGAAATGTCTTAGCTGTAATCCTGTATTGGTACTACGGTGTTTTATTTGGAATCGGTTGCCTAGCGTATTGGTTCGAGACTGACTCATTCGTTTGGAAGGACGTTGCTTTTAGATTTACCTATTTTATATTAAAACATACGCAACTATTTTCTTGCTCAATTTGTTGTTTAGGTAACTGAGATTCAAGATATGCAGTACAGTAAACAGTGTTAAAGAATATTTAGTTTAGTTCTAGTTTAGGACGCAGGTTAAATTCTTGTAGTAGACTTTTGGATAATAACGAAAGTGTGATAATATATAGTCATCTTTAGGAGCCCCGCGGCCTTTTTCATAGATCATACAATTCGGATAATTCATATAAATATCCATACGAGAAAAAGTATGGTTACAACACCTAACTAGGACGTAATAAAGTAATAAAACACTATTTTGACCGGATTGAAGTTATGTATTATTATAAATTTACAACTATTTAACATAATTTTAAATTTATCCGACGTTTCGCGTGCTTTACAGCGTGCGTGGTCACCGTGACCATAATATATAATACATAACTTCAATCCGGTCAAAATAGTGTTTTATTAAATGAATAAAAGTTATGTTAATCAAAGACAATACTACGTAATAAAGTAACCGAGATCACAATATCACATCTTTCGTAATCCCTTTGGGAAGAGGCGCCGTTTCACGCGTATTGCGTCATTATTATTGCATTTCGTTGTATTTGCAGAAAACAGTGTCTTGTTACAGTGCACCAGACAATAGCTCAAACAAACGCTTATGTAAGTTACGTAAACAGCAAGGCCCAGCCAATGACCTTCTTCTGTAGACATATGCATCACTCAAGTCATTGCACCGAGTGCATTGACGCCGCACTATCAGCCCACACATGTTCTTTTTTCATATCTTTATCAATGAAGAATAATGAATGAATATGTTCTATTTATAATATAGGCGTACCGTGTTATGTACCGTAACCTTAATTGAGACGTTGTTAACTTAAATTTTTCAGGAATTATAAAATATGCTCGTAGATAACACAGACATTTTCATTTAACCGTTAAAAGTAAAACGTTATAATTTAAATTAATGTGTTCGCTTATCAGTAAATTAACCGGTTAACATCGAAAATGCCTATTATGTAACAAAAAATATCCCTATTTATGTTATCATTACCTTACTTTCCAAACACATTAACCTATATACTATCTATGGTTGTCAATTACTCTGTAATATGTAAAATCGTTCTTTATATTTAATTTTTGCGTAGTACTATATACAAAACAATCCAATCAATATTCAGCCGTTTCATAGATACATTCCAAAAGTATATGTTCAACAATTTAAGCGGGAAAAACTTTCCAAACTATTGTAGACTACGTATTATTATTTACTTACCATTCGGAGTATTAATGCACTAAATGAAAGTTATAGTTATTATTAATAACCATATCAAAAAACCTCATTGTCTTCAAGTAGTTTATAAGTATGAGTGATAAGATATTGGTTATTAGCTTATTGTTACGCTATTAAAAAATATCTTCATATATATCTTTATTGTTCTAGTTTTGGTTTATACCACGATACTGAAAAAATAGGCTGTCACCGACGTGATGGCTCCACATTGCACATAATGACACCTATATTCGAAGCTGACACCGTGCAAGTAGCCTGGTCAAGATGCAGCAAACGAGATGTTACCAACTTTTTAGAGTGAGTTTAATTTTTTGTTACTATTTAATGATTTTATTTGGAACAACAACTAAAGATTAAGTGAAGCACACGGGCATATACAAAATGATATGTTTCTAATTTGTGTATGAATTTTGATTTTTATAGTCATCCTGAGTACTTTACTCTCGCTACCTTTTTAAATAAACAATGCGTCAATTGTACCGTAACTACTCCGATTGCATGGGAAATTATAAGGTTTTGGTTATTGTACAAGAATGAACACAAAATAAACCTTAAAGATCGCGGTACGCATTCAAAGCCATTGGCCCAATTATATTTCGACTTTTCGTTTTTAAACATGGAATTCGAAACTGACAAAACAATGTCCGCAAAATGACACTTAAAATAAAATTAAGGAAAACATTTTTTATGACAACGATAACACGGTAGGGTTTCTGTTTTAAGAATGTCGCTTAATCATTATTATTAATGTTTATTATGTTAATTTGAATTCAAAATGCAAATAACTTTATTACAACTGTCGTTTACATCTCCGAAGGTTTTCTAAAAGTGTTTTGCAATGCTTTTAGCTTTTATGATTGTACAATAAAGATTTTGCTAACAGCTATCAATAAAAAATTCTAGGTCTTATGTAGGTCACACGGTGTATTGATAAAAACCGTGGAACGTCCTGGGTGGAGAAATAAATGTTTCTGGTGGACACACAAGTTTCATCACATAATAGTACTTGTAAGGAAAAAAATAATATTGCCATATCTCATACTCAAAGGCACTATCTTCCGAGATGAGAAATGGCTAACGTGGAGCTTAATAATTCTTAGCTTTAGTAATATTTCTAAGTGGCTGTATAGGGCATACTTTTCCATCGTCGAAATGAAATATAATATTCATAAATTATTTTATTATTGTCAAACCTTATTAACATCCGTTTCGATTCATATATTTTAATAGAGCTATTTATAATTGGTGAATAAATATATGGTGTTTAATTATACGCCTAGCTTGACATGTGACTACGTATCTTGATAGAAGTACTTTAAATGGAGTTCATATTTTAACACCATTTTACAAAAAAAACATATTTTACAGATAAATATCCTTTTGTATTACCAACGCGTATAAAATAAACTTAACTTCACTTATTAATTATTATCTACTATAATCACATGAGACATTTTCGTTTCTAGCGCTGGACTAGGTGAATGCCTAAGTGACAGACCAACAGATGAAGAACCCTACGTGTATCCAGAGGTCCCAGCTGGAGTCATGTTTGATGCTGCATCCCAGTGCCATTTACAATTCGGTGCAGAGGCAGTCGTTTGTGCGAAGCCCTCGGAACTTTGTGAACATCTGTGGTGTCTGGTGAATAACACGTGCAAGACAATGTTGCGACCAGCCGCACCCGGTACCCCATGTGGAGAAAATATGGTAAATATATTTCGTACATTTTGTTTTTACTGCTTCCGCAGGCATTTCCTGTTTTTGTCACCATTATAATTCACCGCACAATCATTTTTCTTTAAATTTCGTGTCAGATCGGATCTAATATATATATATGAAATTAATAATGGTTATAATTAAATATATATAAAGTATGACCTCTGTATATATTTTTAAGGATTAATATTGTGTATGATTTTTATTTACTATATTTTCAATTTAAAATCTCCTCGTTCAGAAATTGTACGTATAGATGTTCGTTTTATTTTAATAAATACAAAAACAGTGTTTTTTCATTCAATGTAAACAGGTTTAATGGCCCAAATCTTAGCATTCAGTTACTGTCAAAATCAATTATTTTAAACTAAACTATTCAATTGAGTTACGGATCTATTGTAACAGTTCTGCACGATAAATACGCTTGTTCATCTATTTTAAGAGGGTGTTTTTAATACATATGTGAAATCCTCGAAGCCTATGGGCAAGAGAAACCTAGGAGAATCCACTATTTTTAAATAATAATAATTTATTTTCTCCAAATGAGGAATGCATAATGCATATTGCGTATTGAGTCATGAGGAAGAATTTGGGAATAGTTGCTTATAATTGAACTCTGTATTTTCCCCGTTTCATATTATTTTTCATTTTATCCATGTTCGTGGCTGGATAATTGTTAACTCGTTAATTATTTAATGTATATATTTTATTCTCTTTTTACTCATAGTAAAGATGAAATAAGAGCCTTTCGCTGCCGTATCGTAATTAAGATATCTGCCATTTATCTTCGTAAACAAATTACTCTGCAGATGTTAGATTATTAGTAAATCTTCTAAAGAAAATTTAATAGACTTACGGTTTAAATTTAAAAAAAAAACTTACTAACACATCTTACTAGTGTCTGTTTATTTTATGAGTAATGAGTAACTCGTTCTTACATAAGAGTGACTGAGATTACATTGTACAAATACTATAAAGATTAAAACACGGCAGAAACCCATACTTCTCGGAAAATCCCACATGACAAAACTGTAGTCACAAGTTGTCAATTGTTTATTTCAAATTTGTATTAAAATTTTCTCTATGTAATGATTGTATTTTTATAAATCTTAAGTAATATTATTTCATCGGCATTCAAGCCTTTAAGAAAAAACTATTCATTTACCAGTAAACATAATTTATATATTTTTCATTGTATATAATAATAAGTAATCCTTACAGTGGTGTCAAAATCAAACGTGTGTGGCGAAAACACCATCGCCTGCCCCCCGTGATGGTGGCTGGGGCCCGTGGAGTGAATGGAGCGAGTGTTCACGCACTTGCGGCGCAGGTGTCTCCACCCAATACAGAGAGTGTAATAATCCCAAGCCATACAATCATGGGAACTACTGCATCGGTGCTCGAAGTCGGTAAGTATTGTAGAATGTTTGGATTTTAAATTTGGGTCAATTGTCGAGTTATTAAAGGTTTTATGGGCATACAGAATAGAGACTTATTGCTCAGTCCTGTTTGCCATGCCAATTTAGAATATGGGTGTTGTAGTTTATAAACCCCACTATATTCTTTAAACCCAATAATTTCAGATAAACAATAAATAAAAATATAAGTTTCGAGTAATAATAGATACTACGAGTTTGATTTTTGCTGCCTACATCCCCTCCAGCAAACGTTTCTCACTCCGTATAGACATTTTATTAATCAGAAACAATTTACCGTTAAAAAAACAATTTAGAAGTAAATGTAATTCGGCAAAATTGTATGTCGTTAAATAATCTTAATACAAATTAGTAATTGTATTTAGATTTATTTAACTGTACTGATTAAAGTAGTAATAAATTCAACCGCAACATACGGCATATCTAATGTGATTAATGTCAAATAATGATAATAACGATGTTGTATTAATTAGCCGCCACTTCCCGTCGGTAATGCTGTAAATTTGTAACCACTGAACCTGTCTATCTAGGTTATAGATTATAAATATTGTCGTCTTAACTGTATAATTAAATTTTTTATCTACCTACAGAAATTTAATTAGGGTAAATGTTCAAAATCACGTTTCAAAACTAAATTTTACGTTACGGATAAGCTTGCGAGTTTCAACCCTGAGTTCGTCGTTCGTTCGAACCCCGGTCATAAATGGTGTTTTCTTTCTACGTTCGCAATTAACACTCGCTTCTTAAAAAAATATCGTAAAGATTGCATCACGACTTGCACACAAATATTGACAATGTGCTGCAGGCTGACTAGTTGTCTATCAAGAAAAAATATCTACGTACACAGAAATATGTCATACGAGGCTTTATCCAATATGAACACAAATATCATAAAACAAAATTGTTACAGGTACCAAGTGTGTAATACAGATCCATGCCCGTTAAATGAGCCCTCGTTTAGGGAGGTGCAATGCGCGAGATACAACAATATGACATACAATAATGAAACCATCTCTAAATGGATACCATATATCGACCAAGGTAAGCTAAAAAATTAAAATCTAAACCACAGGATTCATAATTGGTTATTAATAGACCAGGGTCGATAATTTTTGAAACCTAAAAAAATAATAATAGGATGAAACCCATTGGAAAAGGAGGAGAATATTATAAAAATTAAAGGAAAAATAATTTACGGGCGATCTGAGGTCGGGAAGGGGGGGGTCGCTAAAGGGGAAAAACGGTTTTTCTCGATTTCCGGCAAAACTAAAAGTCCTATGGAAAAAAGTCAAAAGAGATTTTTATTATAATATTCTCCTCCCTTTCCAGTAGGTTTCATCCTACCATTTATTTTTATCACTTTTTATTTCTTCTACCCTGGTCTATAATGGCAATCACATAATTATAATAATACGACTATTTACAAATATTCAAAGATTAATATTAAAAAGTTTCAGAAGTAATATTACTTCCACCAAAAGCTAATGATTCACCAAATGTTAACAGTCTTGTATAACTTTTTAATTAAATACTTTAAACTTGTGTGGGCAGATTTGATCCGTGTGTAAGTTAATTTTTTATCGCAGACTTAATTGAGTAGAAATTGAAACACCTCATTAGTATTTTTTCACCTGACCTGGCACAACATGGAAAGTTTAGACCACCTTTGAATGAAACAAAAAGTTTCACGTGGACACTCGAACGTAGTTTAAAAAGGCCTTAACTTACATTTAATAGGATAAATAAAATAAAAATTATCTGTATCAAGTACTAAAATAAGGATCACATTGAGTTTATATTATAATATTAAATTAATAGTCTTTTCTCCGTCGGAGGTCGTGTACATTAGTACAGAGAGAGAGAGAAAAGACGTCCTTCAAATTCTTCTATTTGTCTCTGTTCTTCGCTACTATTTTCCCCGATATCTATTTTATTTCATCTTCCCAGGTTTCTGGTGTGCGTCCATTCTTTTTTTTTTCATTGGGCCATTCCAAGTACGGGTCTTTTTGACCCATCTGTAATCACAGACGCAGGCAATGTGACCGAACCATTTCCACTTGAACTTTTTTGAATGTGTTACGACGTCTGTTATGTATTAATGTACATATACCCTTTTTTAAATCATTATACGTATATATGTCATGACACACATGACAATACTTGGCGATTAAAAAGTGGCGAAAAGTTTCTTGCCAGTTCTTCTTACCCGCTCTACGCCCTTGACTTGCGAGCTGGTAGTAAAAGTAAATTTACAATTAATTTAACTTCTTTTTGACGATTCATAAGTGTACTTGTTTACCTATATGAATAAAGATATTTTGAGTTTGAGTTTGAGTTTGACATACCGCATTGAAATTATTTCCGCGTTTTAAAAGATCTAAGCATAAAGATATTTATATATATTTTATGTCTATTTTGACAGATAAGCCGTGCGATCTTCAGTGCGTCCCCAGGGATAAAAATGATGTGGAGATGGTGGGTGGCTTTGTTATTGACGGCACGCCGTGTCGCCAGTCTATTGGATCTAGAGACATGTGCATATCTGGTACGTTCATAAATATGTTTAACTTAACCTATATTAAAATGAGTATCTCTCTATACTAGAAAATAATTGGTTAAAAATTTGCTCCTTAGATTAAGCTCCTCTAAGAGTTAAGCACTTTTTATCTATATTCCATCAGATTTTTTATTGAGAATTCATTTATTATTATTTTCTCTCCAATAAAACATGTGATGATTAAGTATAAAAGACCCCCGATTCCACAATAATATACCTACTCGGAATTATATTTCCTACAGTATTAAACGCTTATAGAAATATTTTTCGCACATTTAATCGTTTAACATAGTCAAACTCTCGTATATGTTTTATGCTACACGTAATAATAATTATAATAATAATTTAATAATCAACATTACTTATTACAGGTGTCTGTTACAAAGTTGGTTGCGACTGGATAGTTGATTCTGACGTGGAAGAAGACGAGTGCGGTATTTGTGGAGGAGATGGGTCTGCTTGTAAGACCGTACAAGGTATTTACAATAAGGACACTGTAAGGCGAACTGGATTTAGTGAGGTCAGTATAAATGTAATTCTAAGTAATTCTCGAAGTTCAATAACAGTGTAATAGGAATAAGTCCACATGGTGATTAATAGTTTTAGCCTTCACTTAAGTTTATGCAACTAGTAAAGATTTTTAAAGAAATCTTCGTAAATTCAATATATGTTAAATAAATTTCAAGAAATGCATCCAAATTTTCCATAATCATCCTTTTTAACAGGATGTAAGTATTTGTAAATCGAAACGGTTTTTCAGAAGCGTTTAAAGGCGAAATAGCAAAACTGCAATAATTACTAAAATTTTCTTTCCCCGCTGACGGCTTCGTTATCAACGAGACTTAGGGTCTGTTTCACAATGTACGGATAAGTCATTATATTATTTTAGGAAACTATTTTGTTAATAAAGCTATTCGTAAAAATAAGATGAAGTCAAATAAAAATTTTCCAAATAATTTATGTGTTGCATAGCTATTTGTATTTATAGGATAATTTCTTAAGATGAAAAATCGCGATTAAGATCCGCGGCGGTTTAACCGCGGTGCTCTTACAGTGTGATATATCCGTCCATGGCGTTTTGCCAAGAGATGTCTGACGATGATGGAAACCCATACACGCAATTAGATTTATGATAAGACCGACTTAAAAAACGTGTTGAAATATAGCTAAGAATTTTAATAGGTAGCTTTAGAAGCGTTTGTGAAATTCAATAACAAACGATAGTTTAACTGTATATCGTTTGTAATCCGTGAATAATGAGGTATTAACACGTATTTGAAATTTAAAGCTATATTTATGCCATGTTTATGGCGGGATTATCTTTTTGTAAACTATGTAATATTATACAACCTTTTATTAATGAGATTATTGACTTTCGAAGAGCATTATTGGCCTAGCGGCATCAATATATCATTCTCATCCCCGAGTTCGAATGGACTTTCTATCTATATTTAACACGGTACGGTGAAAGAAAACATCATATCAGGCCTTAGACTCAAAAAATTAATGGCGTGTGTCAGACACAGAAAGCTTCTAACCCAAATATTTTTTTTTAGGGGGGGGAGGGTTTGATTCGAAGCGAAAAATACAGGTTGTAAATATGGTTACTTTTGCTAAGCATTTTTTCTTCGATGAAAATTTAAACCTAAATTGAACATTTTACCGTCTACTCAATGACTACGCTCATAAATGTATATTATTTTTAAAATGAACACTCAATATGTTTCTCTGTACGTAAATAATTTTAATGCTTAATTTTGCTGTTTGTTATGTGAATAATTGTTGTTAACAGCAATTAAATTTCGACGTTTTTAGAAGTTACTTAAGGTAAAATTTTACAGGTCGCTGTTATACCGGCCGGATCGAGAAATGTAAAGATTCAAGAGAAAGTTAGCCCTGGAAATTTTATTTCGATTGCCAGTGCGAAGTCCAGTAAAATTTACTTGAATGGAGCTCGGTAAGTATACTAGACAAAAATAGTCATTTTGTCCCTAAAAATTATAGTCCAAATTGTCTTCTTGTGAGCTTTAAAATGTAAAAATAGAGCGATACAGATGTTAATTCCCGAATAAAGCTACATTGTTCTGTGTTCCTTAAACAGAATATGAAATAGAAGTAGTCTGTACAGGCTGGTTCTAGTTATGTTAGCTGCGAAATATTGATTTAAAACTTGAAGTTATTGGCTTAAGAAATAATAATTTGATTTTTTTTGCAATTTGGCATTGGTTGGTAAAAATTAAAGTATTTTTGATTTAACTGCTCAATTCTTTTTTAATTAAATATAATACATACAATAATCTTCCACTTTTATAGAAATACTACACTGACGGAGTACTTCGTAGCGGGAGCCCCAGCGGTATACGAGAGAGATCGTGACTGGGAAAAAGTACGAATAAGTGGTCCCTTGGCCGAAGATATTAAAGTTTATGTAAGTTTATTCAAAAATATATATTAAACTGTACATTACGATCTAGATGAAAACATTTTCAAAAGCTAATCTAAATTGGAATGTTAGATTAATAGCGGCCAAAGTAAATTTAAGCCGACTTTAATAAAGCCGAAATTGGACGCTTACAATACGATGTTTATTGTAAAAAAAAAATATATTGTTTCAAGTAACTACTGCTTATAATAAAAATATTTTTCTAGCAACGTATATTCCGCGGTCGTCACCGTAATCCCGGCGTGACCTACCAATATGTCGTGGATCAGCCCAAACGAAAATTCCAGTACCGTATCTCTGACTGGACCGCTTGTTCCGTCACTTGTGGCGTTGGGCGCATGCACAGGCATTACCAATGCTTCGATGACCATAATCGTAAGGACTTTGTTCTTTATATAATATACTTAAATTCCAGAAACTTTTATTAACCTTCTATTTCATGAAACGCAAATCGTTCTATTACACTTTTAACTATTCCCCAAATAGTTACGTAGTTTTCAGGCTGTTCTTTGTTAAGCTAAAATAAAATAAAATAAAATAAAATAAAATAAAATAAAATAAAATAAAAATGTTATTATTCGTAGCAAGTCACAAAAATGTCCTACCCAACTAGATCGTTCTTTATTTCTAGGACAAGTGGATTTATCCCAGTGCTACCACATCGAACAGCCGCGTCATGAGGCGCTAATGCAGCAGTGCAGACAGACAGACTGCACGCACTGGTGGGTCGGACCTTGGAAGACATGTCAGCCATGTCATATGCCGGTGTGTGATTTAATACAATAACGAATATATAACGACACATTTCTTTTATATATTTTTTTTTTTCATTTTTTTATATTTATTTTGAACACTTTTAAAGTTTAGTTGGAGACACCTTTCTCTTAGTTCACATATATATTGCAAAGGTTCCGTTTGGGTTATTTTACAAATATATAAAAAATATTTCTGATAACTTTAAAACTCTAAAGTTATAAACGAATATTGGTAGATAAAGAGTATTTAAATCTAAAAAATATATGGCATGATGATTCTGACTAACAGATATTACATATGCTTTTCAGGGTGAGGAGGCCACTAAGCAAAGAAACGTACACTGCGTGAACAAAGTATCGAATAACGTCGTAAGTGATTCCGAATGCGACCCCACAACAAAGCCGATACATTCAATACGCTGTGCAGACGTGCCAGCTTGTTAATGGAAAGAAGCCCCATTTCTAAAGAATCCCCCCGGCACAGATGTAACAAAGCGAATACGCGATTAAATCTTTTACGATACAATTCGTGTGGTTTGAAAACCAAATACAAATTTGGTATGGTCAAACTGATCCCATAAAAATTACCTCGAGTTTGAGAGCTGAAAGGAATTTGTGAAAAGTTCAAAGGGAACGCAAGTAATTAACATTTTGTGTAGTGAATGTGAGGGTGACTGTGCCTCGGTAATTGTGTTGTAAAGAAACCCAACGAATATAGACGTATGTACTCGAATAAGACCACCCTGTGGTGAATCTCGCAGAATAAGTACATTAACAATTTTACAATTACCACTACTGCCATATTATTTAAGTTTAACATAGTCTTCCTAGATATATAACTATAAATATAACAGTATTAAAATGATGTACGTATTTTTACCGTAACGTGAAATTAGAAGCTAAATATTTTGGACCAAAAATAGTAATCAAATTCACGTTGCCATAATTCACGGTTACTGCCACTATGACACTTGTATCGTTAAGTAAATTAAGATAACCCTAGCTGTATCGTCTATGAAGAATTAGTATTTTTATACAGATTTTTATGTATTTGTATTTATTGTATTTAATACTAGTCATACTTCAACTTGTACTATTTCATATTAACGCTTAATAATTATAATTTTGGTACGTAAATAGTACGCTATGTAGATTAACGTTTAAGTATGAACAAATCATTTATAGTTATCAATTGAACCGTGCCTTTGTGGATACAAATGTAGCCAAAATATTTATTTTATTTCGCTTTGTTGTGTTTTTTTCCCGTGAGCATGAAGTATGTAAAATTACATGGTAGTCACTTGACAAATTGTCACCACCAGACTTTGACGTTAGCGTCACACCTGCGGGAATAGGCCGTTGTCTATGGTCTTAGATTTAACTGACTACGCATAATTAATATTAAAAATATTTTTTATTTATCTTTATACCTTTGTAGGTAGGTATAATATTATAAATAAGTCACCGGATGTTTCAGTTCTAAGAATCGTCTCGGGGCAAGTCAAGTCAATTAATACACAATTATAATATTCAATAATTTGAAACTAACCCTCTTTACAAAAATATCACACGTCGCATTAAATAATTACAATTGTGTATTTAATAGATATGGCAATAAAATGCATTGTTTTATAACGACTTTCATTTATCAAACCAATATATAAGATTAGGTTTTATATCCAATATCGATGATAGAAGACAAGACTGCTTATAAATCCTTAGGGATAACCTTTTTGGGAAAAATGGATTACATAAAAAATCGACAATACATAAAAACTTTAATAAAAAAAGTAACTTAAAGACGGCTTAGGAGGAATATATCGGACACATTTTTAGCTTAAATAATAAAACTAATACTTAATTTGAGACATCTTGAAAAATCTTGCAAGCAACATCAACAGGATCCAAGTTTTGAAAGATGAAATGTAGTTTATTTAATATAAAAAAATTGAGAATGGGCTAGTGTTGCATTTAGAGAAAAATAGCCTTAAATATCTTATCGTTGGAAACCATGAACAACATAAAATATGTAGTATATTTAATAGACAACTTAAATATTAATAAAAAAAATAAGAGATCGATCTTTCCACAATCAAGTTTACACTTAACAAGGAAGTTCACATTTAAGTGCCTAAATCTATATATAATCACATTTCTAATAATTTCATATGTAAGAATATATCAAAATTGGCATACTTTCGTACGATTTAATATATTCAATTTTTTACGTAAATTTATTTTTCTTTGTCTCCATTTGCGCCCCTCTTTTTCTGAAAAAATAAATAACAACTACATAGTATACAAAAAAAATAAAGCCAATTTCATTAACTAAAATAATTTAATTAGTATTTTTCGTTATTTAAACATTCTATTGTCACACCGTTGTAGCACTTTTTTCTTTTGTTAGCAAAGCCTCTGAAGAAACATCAAACTGAATATTTTTTCTTTTGTGCGAATGTTTCTGAAATATTACAACTTCTTACTATGGTAAATTTCATCAGTATTATTCTAGTTTCAGAGTAGGCGTTGGGTTTTTATGTCTAAGTGCAGGTACGGTAAGGAAAACAGTGAGGTGCAATATCATAGAAATTTCCAAAAGTCCATACTGTGACCAAATTGAAAATATTATAAATAACAAACACATTTGTGTTTGTTATTTATAATATTTGGAAGCCCAAGACGTCCAATATATAGATAATTTATATTATAAGTGAACCAAAGTATTCCTTATATACTGTATAATGTAACATCTCGGGCTCTACTTGGCGACATACTAATTAGTTCTATGCTGTTAGCACGAATAATACGTAAATAAATTTTACTAGAACAGAATAATGTGTAGAAATCTGTCATAGATATTATAGTAGGTTTTTATTTCTGTTTGATACTTTTTTGCTGTGAAGCCTTTTATTTTTAACTATTTTAAATAGTAAGCATGCAATCAGACACCCTCTTTTAACTAACTGAAAAAACCAAGACAGAAATATACAATGAAATACTTTATATAATATACCTTGTCTTTAGTTCTTGGATCAGCATTCTTGGACCTTTCCTTCTCAAGCTCAGAATGAAGGGATGCAAGTTCAGCATTCAGTTCTGCCTGCACAGCTCGCAATCGCTCCACTTCAACAAGAACCTCAGCTTTGTCTTTCACTGAAAATTTATATCAATTTAATATTTTTAAATTTAATGTTTTTAATTTCATAGTTGTCTCTGTTGCAACATAACTATATAGGAATTGCAAATTTGTTGTTTGATTATAAAAATAAACTTGAGCATAATATGCACATAAATACTTAAAAAAAAAAATTTAAACATAAATTTATCCACTTCAGTTGTTTGTTAATGTAAATGCTTAATAATAAATAATCAACATTTATATTAACAAACAACTAAACTTTTATGGACTAATTCCCAAATTAAAAATTAAATCTTTCTAACACAAAACATTTTTTGTTTTATGTACTTCCTTTAAAACATGTGTATATTTAACACAAAGGGTAATTAAGGACAGAGTTGTAACTTAGCACTGAGTTTGCAGTTAGCAGCAAAAATATTGATGCTGATATAGAGGTCATACAAATATGACTATTTAGTGGCAAGTCTCAACTGTGGAGTTAGGATCAACATAAAATTCAGCAGTGTCAACCTAGTCTAATAAACATGTGAAATGTGTAACACCAAATAAAAATTTGTCTTTAACACTTCTAGTTAAAAAATTAACTAAAGGTAAAATAAATTATGAATTTATAAGTAACCTACTTTCACCCTGCCCCAAGATATTGCATAATTTTTTATTTCGTGATTTGACTGTTAGCAGTTCCTCTTTCAGCCTTGTGACTTCCTGTTTCAAACCAGTAATTTCTTTATCTTTCTTTTCTAGAGCTTGTATATATTGAACCCGGTTAATTATTTCATCAGGTACAGTTTGATTTCTAACTCTCTCAATAATTTTGTCTTTTAAGAGTTCATGTTTTGTTTCATCTTGAATCCTTTCAAAGAACTTTGTATCTTTATCTTGTACTTGACAATCTTTTTCACTTTTTTCTTCATTGGAAACTAAAATAATAATAAACCATTATGAATCTTGACTTTATTAAACAAACAACACAATACTTTCTTTACTTACTTTTATGCTCTTCTGTATTACCCATATCGTTAAACTGCTCTAAACTCATAACAGTTTTCTTTTTATTTTTCTTATTTCCACTCCGAGAGGGTTCAGCTTTTTTCTGGACATCTGCATTCTTTTTCAATTGCTTGTATACAATTTTCTTTTCTTCGTAATCAAGTTTAGATAGTAGTATAGCCTACAAATTGAAAAAGAATAAAAATTATACTTGTATGTTAAAGATTTAGTTTTTTTGTTTTGTTTGACATTTATAACAGCTCAACTGATTTAGCATTGAATAATAACTGACTTGTTGGAGTTCAGATTCATAGTTTCCATGGACAAGTTCCTCATCCTTTTGCTTCCACATTTCCCATTGCTCCGAAGTTGCACCAGAAGGTTTTGGCTTTCGTTTTTTAGGTGCTGCCTATAAAATATTAATAATACAAGAGCAATAAGCATTATTATAATAATTATTGCTAATAATTTAACAGTACAGCTATTTCAATGATAAATCACACAGGAAGAGAAAAAACAATTTTAGTACACCAAAAACAATTAAATACCTGTAGTTTGTTGTTATTATTGTTAGTACTTTTAGGCTTCTTTGCAGGTTCAAGTTTTTTAGCAATGTTAGTTTTATTATTTCTAGTCTTTTGAGCTTCGTTAGGAGAAATCTCGTCATCTTCAATTTTCAGTCCGGCAAAACGAGATTGTACAACCACAGCAGCCATTTTTCGTGTACACTATAAGAAATAAAATTTATAATTAAAGATAAGTTGTACTATCGTACAAGCAGCCCTTTTAAATAAATTATCTATAATTATTTAATGAGAATAAAATTTTACGAAGACAATAAAATAATCGCTAGATCAGTATGTTTTTTTGCGTAGTAACTTTACAGTAATACAAGTTGATTTACTTTATTCATTTTCTTTACACATCTATTTTATTTTAACATTAATAAAATCGGGTATTATAAAGGTAAGGGATATTTCGTCTCAATAAAACACTCACCGCGGAGTTTATTTAATTTCAGTGATATTTTTGTAGTTACTAGTAACTAAAGTTTTATATTTTTTATTTTCTTTTTAATAATAATGTTTTAGAATCAAGTAAAATCACTATTTATTGTATTATGTAGATAGGCCGGAGGTATTTTAACAAAGAGATTATATTAAAATTCTTAAGTTATTTTTTACTTTACTGTTTTCTGAATTCCGACTGTACATAATCTATGGACAGAGAGGATAGATATCCTCTCCGTCCCTCTTCGGTGTTCTTACAGATGAATAAAAATTCATACACTATGCTTCTATCTCTTTGCTTCGCAGCACCCGTATTGGACACAACAAGTGGCTCTAATTCCCTCATTAAACAATATAAATATATATCTTATATGGAATAAAAAAATATCGTAATAATAAATATACGGAAAAATACTTTAAATATAGCTATTTAAGCGCTGCGTATAATGGTAAACGTTTGATGAAACTAATAATGTTATAAATTAACATTATACTTTGCTTTTTCTATGCGGTTAACCGCCGAATTAGAAAAAAAGTGGCGAATAATAATAATAAATAATAGTAATTCATAACAATTTTTGCCAAAATTGCAATTGGCTTCGTTTTGTTTCAATTAACATCTTAGGAAATATATATTACAATATATTGGTGTTTTTAGACCAACATAACAATAATAACATCATAAACAAACTAACTTAAGAAATTCAATGACATTCTGTGCTGCCATCCGAAAGTTTTCAAATAATTCAATTATTATCTTCTTTCATTAGCCAGACTCTATATAAGCTTACACTCACCAATATAAAACAAGTCAATAGTCAAGTTGACTGATGAATGAATTTACTGTTCATGTTGGAGTGATGTCGCAGATTTGAATTTATTCATTGTTGTCAAAATAAATAAATATGAAAATAGGAAATTGGTTTTGTTGGATGTCCGCGCAACTTAAGTGAATATTGATTTATTTTTGTGTAACAGGCAGATACTATAGAAAATACATCGACGAAACCAACATAAAGCCTATAAGGTAATAATTTGTGTGCAAATCTGGAATATTATTATAGATTACCATTTTCCTTTCTCTTATTGTATCTCTTACAGAATGGATCAAATTGAGGCCCAACCATTCGTATTTTTAGGAATAAAAGTCAAGCCAGGACCTATTGAACGGTTTAAGCTGGAAAACTTCAGTCTTGACAACACTGTTAGCATTCTTAAGTCAGAAGCTGAGAAAAAAACTAATATAGCACCATCGTCTTTAGGTAATTATAGCTTTTAGCTTCTTGACTTATGAAATTGTTCATTAGCAAAACATAGTATAATTTGTAAATTTGCATCTCCTTAACCATAAGATTTTCTCGATATGTTAGAACTGATACACCATGGTAAAATACTTCGTGACAGTACTACTCTCCGTGAAAATGGGGTTAAAAATGGTGAAATGGTTCATGTTGTAAAGAAAAAGGAACAGAATCCTCCAGCACCGCCACCAACCTTTAGTGATGCAGAATTACAACATTTGAACTCATCAATGAGAACTTTGGGCTGTACACCCAATGCGCCTGGCTGGACACGAGCCATGCAGGTATAATTTATCTATTAAATTGTTTTTTTAAACAGATACCCACTTTATTTAAAAAAAAACGTTATTTCAATGCATAAATAACATCACCAAATGTGTTATCCAGTTTTGAAGAAATATAACTAAAGATATATCTACTTGACTAATTGAATGGTAAATAACTAGGGAGTAGTTAATTTACTACAGTTTTTTAAGAGCAATACAATTATTTAAGACAAATTGTTACCATATTATTATTGACTAGCAATTCTTAAAAATTTTGGTGTTAGTTAAATTAGTTATATTTATATTTCTATTTATAATTTAAAAACATTTTGATATCCATTTAATTTATTATAAAGTTATCATATAATTTCAGTTATTAAATGATGAGTCTGTCATATCTGACATAATAGAGCAAACTCCATCATTAGCCGAAGACTGTACAACTATATCAATTTTACATGAAGTGGAGTTACTCGCTGCTCTAGGTGCCAATGTTCAAACAATGAGAAGGGGAACAGATGCCCATCCTGATCTCCCAAATGCATTGAGAAATCTATTAAGACTAGTCTGTTCAAGATGTCATGCACCTGGTACTGAAGCAAGTGAGTATTATTTAACAATTGGATTAAAACATATAAAATTTTTCTTTTAATTATTTTAACTTTTCTAAAATTATATAAATGTACAAAGACAACGTCTACTTTTCAATTTGTTAATCAATATTCTTATATACAGCACCTACATCTGGTTTTGCCTACTCTTTGGAAGCACTTTCGGAAGATGAAGATGCTGAGGAAGAAGAAGGTGAAGAGACTGAAGGTAGAAGTGCAATCACACAGGAGCAGTTTACTGCAGCTTTACAGGTTTTTGCCGATTATTAATAACAATAATTTAAAATATCAGACATCAAAGATAGTAAAAAAAAATCCATTAGCTCCAGTAGCAATAAGTGCGTTTGTCTTTTTGATATCGCAGATTTGAATAAGCATTTATTTAATCCTAGTTTCATAGAACAGTCTGTTTGGAAAGAGAACCGGCCTGGCGGTTAAGCGAAGTGATATAATTCTAATTTGCTTTCGTACAACGTGCGTCGTTTTATTTATTCACAAATATTACATATAATTTTTTTAAATGTTAAATATCAAGATGGTTATTGTCGAGCTATAGTAAGTACAGAACAGGTTCGTCATTATAATGTTCTGTGTTCCCTTTCCGCAGAGACTTTAAAATAATTTTTCTAGGACTTCAGTAAAAAAATTTTGTGATACAGTATATTGTCATTGTTATTTTAATAGTATGGGAACCCGGAATACTAAATTTGCAGTAACTAAAGCGTCACATGGTGATGGAGCTATTGGAAAGATTCCAAAACGAAAAAAGTTCATGTTAAGTTTTCAATTTTATTTATCATATTATTTTTGTAAAATGTAAATAAATCACATGAAAATACTCAAGCGGGTCAGACATTTACAGTTATACGGGCTTTATCTTTCTGTAAACCAATAGCGATTCATTTGTAGGGTGGCCTAAAAGGAGGAAAAAAAAAGTTATTTGACCGTGTCAGAAATTCAGAAATGTTTAGTGAATTTAAAGAAAATTCATAAAGTGCCCTATTTAAAAATGACTGATGATCTGGACGTGATCGAAATGTAAAAATGTGTGACCTTCAGCTCCTCGAGCGCGTTAGACTAAGACAAGACTAACTTATATACATACAGAAATGTGTATTTCAATAATCTGACAATTTGAACATGACATTTGAGTAATGGGCGAGTCACAAAGTTGTACAAAAAACGTCACCGATTTTAATTTATTATTTATTTTGAAGGAAATCCTATCAGGGTTACGAAACATATAATCTGACGGTTTTAATGGGGCGATGTAGCTAAAACCATAAATAAAGGATGAAGCGATTTTTTTAAATTATATGTCGAGCTGCCCTCTACTATACTAAGTGTTCATATATAGTAGGGGTACATAACATGGTGCAACGTTATATGAATTATGACGCGCTTGGGCTGTTACTATTAAGGACAACCAGTTTTCCTTAGGAGGCAAAATCTTAGCTAATAATTTTATGGTATCTTTGAATTTTGTTAATTGGGGAAGTTTTATGGCATCACACTGCGATAGAATAAACGCAGGGCAGAGCCAGTAAATAAAAATGATTTTAATAATTGGTGTACAGGCAGCCACCGAAGCAGTCCGTATAGGCGGTGGACGTCAAGAAAACCTGTTGCGGTTGCTACAAGCTGCTGGACAATCAGAACCACAAGCGACTGCCTCTGGTATACCATAAGTTAAATTTATTTACAAAAAGAAATAGTAAGGTGTCTCGCATTATACAAGATTAAAAAATATATATATTTAGAGATAAACTTATTTGTATAGCAAAAACTTGGTAAACACAAAAACTTCAATATGTCGCTTTCCGATGAAGATTGTAGAAAATACGAGTAATATGTAATACTTGTCGTGTGCCACTAGCCGTTTCCATAAAATGATAACATACTTTCATACAGTTAACTGCAAAAACTGACTTATCTATACTTGTCCATTAAAATATATTTAAACATTCAAAAAAGTTGCTAGGGTTTTGAAACATTAAACTATTTTATATAATCTCATTTGGTAATATTCTAATTATGAAATGAAATACAGACTTTTATTGGCATATTTTATATAAGTACATACTTCTTTAAGAAAATTAAATTAAAGCATTATTCTTCTAACAAAACAATGCTATAAAATATTTTTTTAATTATTAAAGTATAATGTGTCCCCGACCAAGGAGGTTTCAATTTAATTTAAGTACACATAATCTGTGGTGAGCGCGCTGCGCACGCAACGCGCTGGTTCCGAGCCAATAGACCAATAACAGACTTTTTCCATTGGCACTATTTCGTACATCCGAAGTGTCGGAACTTTAGTAGCAAAAGTGTCAAGTAACACCGACGATACCGATGAAAATTTAACTCGACGAAATAGTCTTTTGCCAGGAAAATCAAGAATGGCGTACGACAAATGTTATCAAGACTTATGACTTGGAAACCTATAGCCATGAGATTAAATAAAGTAGTGTATGTAACTGCATATAATTAGGTATTAAAAAGTTATTTGACAGATCTGATAAATGTATTAGGGTTAAGGTAGAATACATTGAAAAGGAAATAGTAGTTTATGCAACTGTCATATAATAGGGGGTATTAAATCATGAGTGTAGTTTTTTGAAAATTCCGTTCACCCAATCAGCGCGCGAGGTGCGATCCGTTTCACAATTTGACGGTTTCACTTCGATAGATTACAATCTACCGAATAATAATACGTTAAATTGTAAGCAGTGCGTTGAGGTTCACAGTTTACAATTTTACGGTGACATATAGATTAGGTATTTAACATAGTCTATGTATTTAAAAAAAAAACATGTTTCAGGTTTCCAGCAAACCCTGTTCAAGAAGTTTGTTTATTCCAATATGTATTACAATTTAGTTAATAAAATATAACTTTATAAAAGGAAATATTATTCTACAAAATAGGATTTAAATTTTACAAATGTTTCTAATGTGTATCTTTAGGTTTAATAAGATCGTCCCTTCACCTTCGTTAAAAATCTTTGATTAAAAACAATTTTCAGGAACAAGCAGTGATGCCCCAGCTGCGACTAGTACCCCACCAGTTATAACATCGGAAATGTTTTGTGACGCACTTACTCAGGCTATTACACATTATACAAGGACAGGTTCATCACCCACCCCCATGGAACAGAGTACTGAAGGTATGTGTATAGTTTCACCACGTGGACAGCCTCAAATACTTATTGTTTCGGAACGGAACTTGTCCTGCTGGTAATAAGCCATTTGCATAAAGTACTTACCACTAATTATTATTATTAATGGAAAGTTTATTTGAAAACACCTTGCTTTAGCTTAACTTGTTCTTAGTAAATAGAAATCCAGTTATTTCATCATAAATCCGGAATAGTTATAATATTTTGATCTTAAATTCAGCATCATCATCGCAAAGTCCAGTGGCCCGGGACGAAGATTTCTCCACACAACTAAATCATATGCACGAGATGGGATTACTGGATGACGCATTAAATGTTCGCGCTTTACTCATATGTTCTGGTGAGTTATGGTTTGAAATAACTTATTTTATCGTCACTTATAGCTAATTAAGAACTTGCTGGGAGGAATGAAAATTTATCTTTATGAAATATATGAAGCCAACATTTTTGGGGAACTATTCATCAATCTATATATAAACCTTGAATCTTTTTTGTAAAAGTTACATTAAATCGCGTAACCCTAAAAACAATATAAATTCAGAAATTATATACATACATTTCGACAATCGCTGCTATTGAAGTAAGATTTAAGGAACGTTGTAAAAATAGCCAAGATCTTCTATGTTTCTATATATTGATAGAATCTTACGAAAATAAAAAAAATCGTCAACATAATTGTTGATGTTTAATTATTGCATTGCAAGGTATCATTAACTAATGTTTATTGATATAATTAGGATTGATTTGTGTAATTACCACTTGTTTAATCTAATACCATGTCATATTAATTTGTTTAGTGATTCAATAATAAAGGAACCCTAAGTAAACCAAACCAGAGGAAAATGTTTCTTTTCAGATCTATTTTCTTGTAAAAATCAGTATGATTTGTCACTATTATTTAGTTACAAACTATAAGACATAATAGTAGTCAGTCAAGAGATTCCCATTTTAACTTATTTTTTGTTTATAGGTGATGTAAATGCTGCTATCAATCTCGTGTTTAGTGGAGCAATTGGAGACGATTAATGAATTATTTCCTTACAACATGTGGTTCACCACAATATCTAATCTCTCAAATGGCTGTTAAAACTAAGTAAAAATGAGTCATTACTACTAGTATTTCTACTAAATTTTTCTAAATAGATTTCAAATAAAGTAAACTCAAATAATTCCAGTTGAGGTCATGTACTCAAGGTCAATAAAAGTCCATTGTTTAGTCATTATATTTATTAGGTACTTATAAATTTAAAATACTTAATATCACTGGATTAAATCCTTAAGAGCATGTAATAAATGACTTAATAATAATTCTTGTTTTATTTAACTACCACCTAAGATCTGATTTTTCATCTGAATTGTGGTAAGTGTTTTTAATAGTTAAAAAATAAGATATTTTTGCATATAAATAGGGGTGAGTAAAGTGCATTATTCACAGTTGTTGGTCAAACACACAAAGGCCAACTAAAACAGTTACTTAGCTATTCTAGAATCTCTGCCATTAGTGCAATTGTAATTTAATGTTGAAATATAAGATTAGTACAAATGTCAAATTATTAAATACACAAAATTTCATTTGTCAAAATTGTTCTACATATTACAGCCTCTATTATAACTTATGGTCAAAATAATATATTGTGATTATGTCTATCTTAATGTTTCATTTTGTAATTCATATCCCGCTTGTCATTTATTTTTCTGTTTGTACTATTATCTTTAGTACGGCATTGTTCTCTTTTCTGCATTCTCTTAAAGTACCACCGAGCTGTGTTTGGGCCCTTTTCACCAAACATTTCTTGCTCGAGTTTCTGTCTGGCTACCTTGCGTAGCTCAACTCTTTTATCATACCAATTTTCATGTTTTGGACTGTCCTCTACAATTTTTCTTTTTTTATTTTGTTTATTGGGCTGAGATTTATTGTTTTCAGTTTCTATAAACCTATCTGAATTATCAATGGTTGTACCATCAGTTATGGTGGATTTTTGTTCAGAGGTTATGGGACTATAATCCTCTAGTGATGAAATAGATATTATGTCGTCATAATCCCTAATGAAACCACCTTTCATTTCCCATTGTTCATATTTATTACGCCTTTTTTGTTTTTTAAATGCTTTTTGGCGATTAAGTTTCTTCTTTTCCTGTCTACTTTTATTTCCAACATATCTGTCATCCTTTTTTAGTTCTATATCACTTATACTTTGTTCCAAATTGTCACCTTTATCTTTCATCTTTTTCTTATTATGCAATTTACTTGTATTATTTTCAAAGGCAGCATCTCTTTTATTCAGCTTCTTATCTGAATCCTCAGTTTTCAGAGAATCTGCATAGCTAACTCTTATTAGCGGCATTTCAAAAGAATCATTCTCTATTAAAGAGTTTTTATTTGATTTAGAAGATTCATCTTCATTCTTTTCAAGAAAAGGTTTGTTTTGTTTGCACTTTGTATTTGACTTAGTTAATTTGTTTATATTATTATTCCACATATTTTTTTCAACCTTTAATCTTTTTGTGACTTCTTCATCAAGCCAACTCTTATTATCTTTATAAATATTTTCAAGCTTATTAATGTCAGCTACAAAATTTCTTTCAAATGAAGGTTCAACTAAATGACTTTCTAATTTGTTATCATCAACACATTTAGTAAATCTGTTCACATTATTATTGTTTAATGACTCTTCAAATACCTTCCTGCATTTATTGATTTTAATAGGTAACTTTTGCTGTATTTGGTGATACTGACTTAATTCTTTTAACTTGTTCCGCAAATATGCATTCTCTTCTTGCAGTTTATACAAATTTGACAATATCTTGTTAACTGAAGGTGGAACATGCATTGAGCAATCATTTTTAGCTCCCCACATGTGTCCAATAGCAACACCTGCTGCTGTTATTACACTTCCCAACACAATTATGTTAAGAACTGTACTGAGTCTCTTATTTCTTTTATGAACATATATTCGGTGTTTATTATTATCACCCAAAAATTCATTATCAGCCCCTAAAGATTCATCAGTATTAAAGTTGAGCAGTTGTGGATTAACAGAAGTATATTGGGGAATCACTGCTTCTGTGGGACGGATCTCTTTAGAAAATTTTTCAAAATGTATTTGATATGGAGCATGGGATTCATGGTCACTGTCACTGATGATTGATATACCATCTGTATCATCATCTTTTTCATGGCTATCTGATACTGGACTGGAAAAAAATTAATTAAATATAGTTTTATTTAAAAAAAAAACTATTTCATAATATAAGTGTAGAAAGATCATGTTAGGTCATTAACAAAGAAAACATTTGTATACATGACAGATATTTTACAATAAAATATATTTAATTAAATTCAAAGTGAATCCTTTCATAAGTCATCTTGGCAGGTTTCCAACTTACTTATGCATTGTATTAGTAATAATTTATTTTTGGACCAAAATACAATTTTAATGACTGTTGAATTTAATAACAAAATATGCAATAATATCAAAGATGATTTTACCTTTCGATAGGTGTTTCCGCCAATTCTGGTGCTTCGTCAGCGAATGCTGGGTTTGATTCTAGTAAAGTCCAACTTTCGCCAGAATCCGAATCACTATGTTCTAAAGAGTGTCCGTCCATTTTTATATTCTGAAAATGGATGAATAAAGTGTAATATATCTCAATTAAAATGCTATCCTAAGATATGACGCAAATCAATATTATAATTTATTACGTACTGTTTATTGTAACACAAGTAATTTGGAGGTGCGAGCAAAATAGTTATTTTTGACTACATCACAATCTTAATATCCGAAAAAATTAAATACATTTTTTTATAATTGTATCAATATGTCGATACGATACCTAATACTTCAAGAAAATTTCACTTTGTTCCCTACGTCGTGTTTTGTTTTGACTGAGCTGCACAGTCTGCAGTCTGCATTGAATTAAATATCAAGGTCACATTTTAGAAATACAGTCACAACCACAGATAATGAACTAATTAATATATAAACACAAGCTCGCAACAGCCGACTACCCACTTCGAAAGTATAAACTATAAAGTATAGTGCTTTTCATGAAAGAAGTCCCGCGGTGATTTTTGGAACTAAATTTGACAGGTCGGCAAAGTTGTCATTCGTCGATGTTATCAAGTTCGTTTGTTGTGGTAGATTTTTGTTAATTTTTAACTAGCTTAGTGCATTTTAAAGATTGATTACAATGCCAAAAGTTGTAAAAAGTTCAGCTCGAGAAATGATATTAAAGGTGAAAGAGTTCTGTGAAGCGGAACATAAGAATCAAGGTGTTTTAATACCACTAAACAATGTTCAGAAGAGAGTTGCCGCCATAACAGGTACTTTTTAGAGTTGCCATTTAATAATTTTTTGCTGTATTGATGGGACTTTTATGATATAAATTCGTTTTTGCGACAAAATTGAACAAATACATAACGTGATGAAACTAGGTAAATGATGTAAACCTCTTTGATGTAAACTTCTTACATGATACTATTATAAAATGATGACATTGTCAATCTGTTTAGACACTAACTTTTGTCAATGTATCAAATGTAACCTTATATTCTTCAAAGGTTTTGTCTTATTTCAATTTAATAAGCTAAATTAACAGTAAAATATTTTGGTGATATATGATTTATCAAAAGCTGAAACTTTATGCTGTCCCATTTTTCTGACGGAGGAACCGACTGTGCATCTGTTTCTGGAGCGGTCGGTTTCTGCACGGAAATGAAGCTTTCGAAAGTCTTGTGCCAGTGTACCCAAGCTTTCGTACAAGAGCTATTTGACGGGTCGATATGAAATCTTTCAGGGCGAAGATATTTATCCATGTTTCTTTTTATTTAGCTTATTAAATTGAAATAAGACAAAACCTTTGAAGAATATAAGGTTACATTTGATACATTGACAAAAGTTAGTGTCTAAACAGATTGACAACTTATTTATGATATTCGGCATGCCTTCTTATGGTCCAAGATCCCAGGGCCGCCAGACGTCACGTATTTTCTGACGGATGAAATGTGGACGATTGGGTAGTGTTAGTATGTACTATGATCGTATGCCTACCTGCTAGCTTGGTCAAACGGCCAATTTCCAGGTATCAGGTAATCAAGGTACACAAAAACATTACTTACTTCACGTAAATTCTCATGGCTGATTTTTATATATGTTTTCGAGTGTATAGTTAAAAATAAATTGTCAATACTCCCAGACACTTTCCGTCGGCCATATTGCTTAACAGACGCTTTAAGGGTCTCAAAATAATTAGTCAACTTCACGTAAATTCTGACGCTCCATTTTTATATATGTTCATCCGACAACTATTTTAAAAGCTTTGACAAGAAGACAGACCGATCCAAGGGGCCAATCATCCCCTAAACTAAATTTTAATATCTCTATGAGTGAGAGAGCATTATCTACGCGCATGAGACTGAGTGAGACCGACTGCGCTGTTAAAGCCATGAAAATTACTTGAAAAATTATTATTATTCAAAAGGGCAAGCAAAAGCCGTTTAATATTTTGAAGAAAAATTAAGAGTACCAACAAAGCATTTCACCGTTTTGGTACGTTGGATTTTGTTGGTGATGTAGATGAAGAAGAACGTGTATTCAACATAATACAAAAATTTATCTGTGATGTTTACAACGTTCCTGGAATAATTGATGTAGATGCTGCCAGACTACAGTTGTTTATCATTTACATACATGGTATCTGATATAAATGAAGAATTCAATCGAAAGAATTTAAGAAACTTCGATGCCAGTAACTTACCACCTTGTAAAAGTGAGCTTTGGCAACAGTTTCGACGGGCTAGCTTTGGAACAATGCAAGTATGAAGATGATAAATATTTTCAACCCCGAAAACAATGGCTGGACACTACAAGATGGTAAATATGATTTTCATCGGTTCGATGGAGATCAATTACCGGGTTTTGTCAGTGAGTCGCTGGAAGAACAATCAGGTAAATTATTTTCGTTTCTCATATTATTTGTATCTTTTTAGTTTTTTCAGACCTTCATTGTTTAACTTGTTTTTTACA